AAACAACTTTGCTGGTTGTTTGATTCGTCCTGAAAATAAGATGAAGTATTTAGGGGTAATTATTGATTTATATCTCAAATGGAATGAGCACATAAACTTCATTTGCAAAAAGCTGCGAAGTATTCTAAACAAATTCAAAACCTTAAGAGAAATATTCTCCAGCCACCACCTGAATATTCTTTACCTCGCACTAGTAGAAAGTCATTTACGCTATGGGATAGCATGCTGGACGGGGCATTTCGGACACACTTTCGTCCTCTTGAAGTACTAAAAAACAAGTTTCTAAAATTGATACATTCGAAAAGTTTACGTTTTCCTACAGACAATCTGCTTTGTGAAGCCGGTGTTTTTGACATTCGTCAACTCTTTTATTTCAATGTAATTTCAACGTACCACAAGAAGAAAAGTTATCTCTTAACGTGTAGAAATAAGTAAACACAATAATATTATGAATAACGATGACGGACCTATACCAAAGAGCTTACTAAACAGTTCGTTAAAATAAAATAAAATAATGTTATTGGGTTTACTGATTACTACATAAGGACACATTGCAAAAATAAATTTTGGATAGGCAATATTGTGAAATTAATTTTTATATAGCTGAAAATTGTTTTATATAAACATATATTGTAAAATAATAGATAAGGCAAAATTGTAGAATTATTTTGGGTTGGTATATCTGTATGGGTGGTACGCCTGGATGGTTTACCTATATAGCATAAATAGGGTTAGCTTCGCATTAGTTTCTAGTTTTAATCTTCCTCTTTGAAGATGATCACTTGGTGATCGAAACACGTGTCGAGGTGTTAAAAATAACGATTTGGTGTTGAAGAGGAAGATTAAAACGTTTAATCTTCCTCTTTGAAGATGATCACTTGGTGATCGAAACACGTGTCGAGGTGTTAAAAATAACGATTTGGTGTTGGAAGATTAAAACTCAGTTTTAATCTTCCTCTTTGAAGATGATCACTTGGTGATCGAAACACGTGTCGAGGTGTTAAAAATAACGATTTGGTGTGGGGAAAAAACTCCAGTAATATTCATTACTACACCAAAGGTTCCAAACAGTGCATCATAAGTCTTACCGTCACACAATTATAACACCCGAAAAAAAAACTCATAATGTAATTCCATTAACAAAAATATCACTTTCACAACATACATATACTGACCTGGCTCCAAAATTATTCAATACTCTTCCCAATACAATAAAAAACAATAATATATTTCACCACTTCAGAAAGTCATTGAAGCAATTTATATGCAGACAGCCAAGACAAATGATTTCTGATTTTGTTGACAAAAAAATATTTGAAATGAAGTTTTTATCAAGGTGAAAAATGTGTGAAAGAACAAAATTGTTATTACTTTACAATTGAATCTCATATTATACAGGGCTATTCACATTTGTTTCTGTACATGGGGATCTCGTAAACGAGATAAAGTGTCGGTTAAATCGTGGCAAAGTTGCATATCTTAGAGACCTATTCGAAGATGTAAAAAAATCGAATATAGCTCTTTCGATTCTAGAGATATACAGGAAGAACCAAAAAATCCCAAATTATTGTTTTGTCCGTATCTTCTTTATTCGCAGACATATTGAAAGTCTGTCCACATTTTGCTATTGGCACTTGACGTGGGCTAGGAGAATATGTCCATGAATCTTTTATACAGGGTGTCGTCTGACTTGGGCCACCTCATCTTTGAATTTTTAAATACGGACCTGTATTTTTCGTTGTAATTTTTGGATCGTCAACGTTCACTTCATATTAAGAAATTAAATTTAATTTTATATATAAATTACTTAATTTCAATTTCCATAGTCGTTTCGGATGTTATTATTGCTATCATTTCTTTTTCTGCTTATCAAAACACATATAATCTATTGATTGTGGATGTGTTCCAGATACTCATGAAAGGTTTTCTTATTCGAAGTTCATTGTAGAAAACGCTCAGAGCAATGGAAATGTAAAAAATATGAATAGGTACCTAAAAAATAAAAAAAACTCTACGGTACATAGGGAGACGTGAAAGTTGCCATTGTGGTTTTCATTTAACTCAGTCAACCAATTTCCAGGGCCCACTTTGAAAGGGAATAATTCACCCAATTATAATAAAATATTATCGAAACATCCCAAAATATAAAATTTAATTTAATTTCTTAATATGAAGTGAACGTAGACGATCCAAAAATGACAACAAAAAATACAGGACCGTATTTGAAAATGCAAAGATGGGAGTGGCCCAAGTAAGATGACACCTTGTATAAAAGATTCATGGAATGTATATCTCCAGAACTGAAAGAGCTATATTCGATTTTTTTACATCATTGACTAGGTCTCTAAAATACACAATTTTGCCACAATTTACCCGACACTCTATCTCTTATCGTTTACGAGATCCCCATGTACAGAAACGAATTTGAATAGGCTTGTATATGTAGTACATCAGGATTGTCCATATTACCTTATTTATTTATTATAATTTCTAACACATCGCTTATAACATTTGTGTCATTTAAATGTCATACAAACAATCTTATAACTCAGACGCATCAACCATTGTATTAAGTTATACACACATCGGAAAAGTCTAGGGATATTTTTAAAAATGGCAATATTTTTTTTTTAGATCGCTTCAGGGAAAAAAAAGTTGACGGGTGATTATTAAACGAATGTAACTTACAACAAAATTTATTAAATGGTCAAAAATACTGAGTGCGCATACAAGCAAAACTAAAAAAAAATATGGCTCTTCTTTGGCACCCCGAAAAAAAATCATAATACAAAAAAAATTGGAATCAGTACAAAGTATGGCCTCCACGCTGGTTTATTACGGCCCTACATCTATCGTGCATCGACAAAATGAGATTGTCAATGTCTTGTTGAGGTACATTTGCCCATTCAGCGATTAAAAGCTCTCTCAATTGAAACGTTGTGTGAATGTTCCCCATATGCGGAGTAATTCTTCGTTGAAGCATGTTCCACACATGCTCGATGGGATTCAGGTCTGGTGATTGTGCTGGCCATGGCAATACATCAACTCCTTCGTTGGTGAGCCAGTCAGTCACTAGACGCGCGACATGTGGACGAGCATTATCGTGCATTAGGTGGAAGTTTTCACCAACAGCACCAGCAAACGGACGGACGATAGGTAGAAGAATGGTGTCGAGGTACTGTCGAGCTATGAGGGAGCGATTTGGAAAAATGAGATCGGTTCTGCCGCCGATCATGATTTCGCCCCATAACATTACTGTACCACCTCTGTATGTGTGGACTTCCTGAACGTGTCTCAAACGTTCATTATTTTCAGGTCGTCTCCACAGTCTTACTCGACGAGAATCTGGATGAAATCCAAATCTGGATTCGTCTGTAAACAAAACTGTGGCCCAATCATTTGCATCCCAGTTTTGATGTTCTTGACACCATTCTAATCTTCTACCGCGATTGCCTCTCGACAAAGGTGGACATCTAAGTGGCCTTCTGTTGTGGAGATCTGCTTCATGCAGTCGATTTCTGACAGTATCACGACCAATGGTTACCTGGTGCGTCTGCTGCAACACGTTAACCAACTCAGGTGCTGTGATTGTCGGTTGTCTTCTTGCGGTTAAGACCAAAAATCGGTCTTGAACTGCAGTTGTAGCGCGTCCTCGCCCTGGATGTTGTTCGGCTGGACTGCCAGTTTCACGGAAACGCCGCCACAATCGACTGATAACACTTTGGGAGACCCCCAAACGAAGAGCTACATCATTTTGTCGCATGCCACCTTGAAGAAGCCCTACAGCTCTATTCATCTCAGCCAATGGTAAGTGATGGCGTTCCATGTTAAAGCACAATATTTCCATTTTAATTGCTGAGCAAGAACTGCATAGAATGTACAAACTCGACACTTTCAGATTATTCATTTTCGCCGAAAATCTACAGTTTGTAAAAAACTTGATAAAAGATTAGTTACCGTTTTTGCAGGCTTTGTTCAACCCATAGAAATCTACAGGGTGGTCGAGTGTACCAATTTAATCGAAATTAAATGACCTCATGCATTTATTTTTATGATATTTAGTATGTTATAAAAATATCCCTAGACTTTTCCGATATGTGTAGTTACACATGCATAAGTGTGCGCGAATGATTTGTAAATATTTACTTCTAGATTTAGACAAGTCTGATACTCATTGGTTTTTTTCATATTTCCGCAGTTGTCAGTCAGTATGTTTATTATTTATAAGTTTTATTGCTTTGTATTTTTTCGAAACAAGTGTGAAAAACACTTATTGAGTACTCATTCTTTCACCTTCATCTTCTTACTACATTATTATGTAATCTTCTTTCCTACGTGAATAAATATTATTATTACTATTATTATTCGTTTCGAAATATTTTCATTTCGTGTGATTCAATGTATATGAGAAAGTAGCTGTTTTGAGGGGGCTTTTTCTTCCAGTTTGGGTCTGAAAGTTACTTCTTTGCATGATCTACACATCTTTGTATAGAAGTAATTTTTTGAAATTGACTCATTCCTTTCTTCGGAGGATTCCCACATTTTTTGTATCAAGATGGAGAAGTAGAAGGCCGAAAATTTTCTAAATATCATATTGTCTGCCATTGAAAATAAAAGTAATGGTAATAAGGGCACATTTTCGTCATCTCTGGACATTTCAACAATGGTATCGGTTCCAAAACTAAATAACAATTTCTTTCCTACTTTTAGAACCGTAGAAATTATTTTCGTTAGAATACTTTCTCTATTGGAAAACTTCATATATTATTCAGATAAATTGGAAGAAAATAATAGTATTTTCATTTTCTAAGTGACAAATCTCCTTCAAGGAGCTGTCAACAAGTAATGAGAAAACCCTTCAAAAAAATTCATGAATAATAATTTTCGTAAATTTTTGTGTAACAAATTTTGAATGGAAACTTCCAAAATAATCACTCACTGAATAAGACTTTAACCACTTGTCACTGTGTTGTTATAAATTGTCATATAGACATATCCGGTTTTATGATACACGGTTAAAAAATGTCTTTCGTTCAGTTAATGTTCAAAGCATCACAGCTGAAAAGATTCAAGAATGAACTTGTGGAAGAAAAACTCGACGCCATCAAGATCAAGAACAAGGAAAAAAGACACTTCAGATTTCGCCATATCGGAATCAAAATCAGAGCGAGACTGAAACGGTCTATCAAAAGAATCACTTACTGTTTCTGTTGCCGCAAATTCTGTTTCAAGCTACGGCATGATGGGAGCTGCGAAAATTTCGTCCTGAAGAGTTTTCTAGGCTTCATCGCCGGTTTGGTGTTGACGTATATATTCTTCATGTTTTTCGTTTTTCAACTCAATATCAAAATCACAACGGCAACGGTGGTGTGCTCCTTGCTGGGGTGTGTTTTAATGAATGGTTTGGCTTTCAGCTCCAAAATAAGGTGAGTATCTGTTTGAACGAAAGTTTCGACCTTTTGTTTAGATAATCAATATTTTTGTTCGGATTTTATCGAAAATATCTTTCGAACAATGAGATACGGAACCAAAAACATCTTCATTCACAGAACAGATTTTCTTAACCTTGATTGCCTGTTTCAATTGTCCACTTTGCTAGTGGTACCGTGAATTCAGGTGGTTATTCCATTAGTCTTGCTTTTTTTTTGTTTTACGTTGAGTCTGAAGTATATGAATGTGTTTGTGTAGAAAATTACTCAATGTTGTTATATTTGGTTCAAAATGCTCTCGTTTTCCTAAAGTCCTACATGAAAAATGTATTATTCCATCTCTTAGGAAACATCATATAAAGCAGTTGACTAATTTATATATATGTAACACGTTAAACCTCAAAACAAATCTACGAAAAGGTTCAAAACAAAGCAATATTATTTTCACCAAAAGCTTCAATGGCTCCAACATAGTAATCATCTGAAAACTTAGGAACTCTTCTTATTCTTCCATCGACAACATAGGACTGCAACGATGTCGGTAAAGATTCATTGCAGCAAAATGAATTTGTCAGTTCAAAACCGTTTGCGTACTCGAAAATGTTTGTTATATACACATCAACTTCTCTCTTAAGGCGTTGTTGTGTCTGTTTATCATGAATACCAAGAATCAGCCGATGTTTTCATATCTCATAGTCTTACTTGCTTTCTGAGATCCGTCAAAACTTCTTCTACAGATTGACTAGACGTCTACCAAATTTAAGGGTTTGTATTGTAATAGTCCTTTTAGGAAAGTAGTGTTTTTCGTAAGCTTTCATGACATCGTCAAAACCTTGCTTTGTTCCGTCTTCAAAACTATTATAAATATTTAAACCTCGATCCCTGATCAAACTTGAGAGGATGATTATTTCAATATAACCATTTTCATTGTATTTTTACATTATCTTTACCTCGATTTCATTCTGGTTTCACTTCTGATACCATGTTATATTTGATTCAAAATGCTCTATTCATCTTTCTCAAATTTTACATGAACAATTATCATATCACAATAAAAATTTGGATGAAGGAGCTTTGAAAACGAAACAAAAGAAAAAATTCGAACAAACATTACTTTATATATTTTTAGAATAATGAGTGTCATGCAGAATTACCAAATTTTAAAAAATTAAAGCTTGTGGGTCCTTCGCAATTACGATTTATTTTTTAACGAATTGATAGTCACTTCTGGATGAGTTTTAGAACTGACTCAAGTTATAACTTTCGGCTGCTTGATAATCATAAAAGTGGGAAAAATACAGTTGGCCGTTGCTAACCTTTGAGATGTATATAGACAGACAGACATTTATTTCCAGTTAACACACACATTATAAAGTATTGAGTTTAGAATATATGACATCATTATATGTGTGAGTTGAAATACATAACGCATAGACAGATTCATACAAAGTGTTTTATTAGATACAAGTATTCTTTGCTATTACGAAAACATGATTGTTAGTCCGGTCAATTTAGACTTTCGTAGCTACCTAAATTCCCACCAAGCTGAAAATCGATAAGAGTGTTTAAAATATGATAAAAAATGAAATTTGAAACTTCCTCATCTTTCTCCTGCATGGAAAAAATTTCATTCGAGGTCAAAGGTCAAAAAAGAAGTTTTTCGTGATTTTCAGCAAAACGGTAAGTTTTAACGTGGTTTCCGCAGTAGACCTATTCCGCGGGTCAGTTGTGATCCTGTTTGATTCGAAACTATTGCAAAATAATGGATATTAGTAGAGATTGAAAAGATAAAAGCAATTTAAGTTAAAAAAATGTTGTGGAATTTAATCGTCCACGTCGTAACTTTCAAATTCTTCTTCTTTTTCTTCTTCTTGATCTTCTTATTTGTCTTGTTCTCCTTATTTTTGTTCTTGTTCTTCTTCATCTTTATCCTGAGTACATGTAAAATGCGTTAATAGCGATGTATAGCATGTCGCCTCGTTGGAATCAAACGGATCCTCCACTGTTGGTGATTCGATATTAGAGCACGACCGGCTTTTGACAAAGTGTACATGCCAGAGAACAAAATAGTCCGGCTTTTTTGTAACCACATTCAGCACTGCACCCCTTTTTGCACTTGGTTGGTAATATACCTGAAAAAGATGTTGATGAGCAGCAACTGAGGTTGGAGGAAGACAAGGTAATTGTACTTGTTCTTTACTTTTGGTATTTTTAACGAAACATGCATATCTATACTTATCAAAGCAGGTAGTTTTTTTAGGAGATCCGGCGAATGCCGTCAGTGATAATTTCTTGACGGGTTGAATTACTATTTTTAAAAACTTCAACACATTGCACTAAATTTTGTTTTTGAAACATTTTGAAAACTGTTATTTTACCCCTCCTGTAAAATGCAGATGTCACAGCCAGTTATTGCGTGTAAAAATAGTACATGATTTTGACACTTTGCAAAAGTAGATAAATATTTTGATGAATATATTTCCGATTGATGTTGAGCTTTTCCTGGTTTTAAGAACAAAATAGTTTTTTCATTTGGAGTTCGAGCAGTGAGTAATACGAGTAAGTCTACATCTTCACCAACAACAATAGTTGTATTTGTCAAATTGAACTGCTCTATTGCTGTTTCAATACATCAGCATTATTATTAGTTTGTTTTACCAATATATTTTCAGCAGTAAATTTTCTTTCAACATTGTAATGAACTGAGACTTGTGAGTATTTGTAATAAATTTTTGTTGCTGGTTGGAACTGACATATTTTAATCAAATAAAATAGCAATTGACGTAGATATTGCTAAAGTTCGACGACGTTGTTCTGAACTTTGGTATTTCTCGTGCAATCATTATAGCCATCAAATACGACAGTAACTCTGGAACCAAAATGTCGACGTACATACTGTATTGATATATTAATTAATTAATTATCCCACTCATGTATTAATATACATGAGTGGGATAATTACGATTACTTGACGATTAATTGACGATTACAACTTTTACAACTTTTTGAATTGTTATATCTCAAAAACGATGGCTTGTAGGAAAAAGTTATCGGTAATTTTTTGTAGACAATTTAATGATCTACAATTTTTGTTCGAAGTATTTTTTGTGATAAAACTTACCGTTTTGTTGAAAATTGCAAAAAATAATTTTTTCCATACATATTTTAAACAATCTTACTGATTTTCAGCTTGGTGGGAATTTAGGTAGCTTTACTCTTATTTTTTGGTCTATGTGTAACAATTTCTTAAGAAACTCTTTCAATTTTCGATTGGGCTTCCAGTCGAGATTCGGTGGTAGGTAATTATATCGTATATATTTATACCGGTATCAAGTGAATTCTTTCGCGTTCTTTCATAACTATAATTTGGTAGCCTGAATACTTTATTGATGATGCCTCTTGAAATGATGGCGAAACGTCCTTTAAAAATGATACAACGAATGAACTCCTAGAAAAGCAGAAAAATAAAGTTAATATAAAAATTTTGCGAGCTACGACCATTAGATCAGTGATCTTTTTTTGTTTTTTCGTGTTGGTACACTTGTCTCGATAATATGTTCATAGTTTCAGCTGTTTAGCATGTTCAGTTTGTTGGTGAGAGGCATAAAAGTGAAAAATGTTATTGCAGTTTCGTCCTACAAGAATATTTTCAAATGAATACAATTAAGTTTTTTGTATTCGTTTGTAATGTTCATTGTATTTCTTTGTGAATTTTCTTGTAGGACGAAACTGCAGTAACGTTGGTTACAACTACAAGTGTTGAAAAACAAAGGAAGTTTCATTTTTGATTTTTCATAATGATCTCCTACCTTATTTCTTTAATGATATACGAATAATTGCGTATTGCTTTTTTCTGTATTATGAATACTTGAGTGAAAATGTACAGTTGATGTACCTCAAAATTCTATTCCACATTGAAACAATTGTGAAATTTTATACGTATAACATGAATAACGCTACTCAATTCAGAACTGAGCTATTCTATGTAGGTGGATCAATCCAGCTTCCAGTGGAATTCCTGAAAATTTGGTTGAACTGAATGGATTCAAATGGATACAAAAACAGTATACCACTAGTTTAACAGAAATTATGTCTCAAGACTTTCTCGCAGTCAACGCACATACGACTGATGATATCAACCGCAGTGGCAGGCGAAACGTTAGATGCTTCAGGTCCCATCCGATCACTACCTGCCAGCCCATGTGTTGTACTCTTGGATAAAATATCGTTCATTTATAAGACTATTTGTTTCAATAATCAAGAATAATTTTAATTGTTTCACTGGCAATCATTAGATTTGATTTTAGATTGAAGGTGTTGTTCTATGTTCGTCATTATTCATCTAAACTCAAATGTCAATATGAATTTTACAAAGTATCCGTGTACATATGCGTGTTCGCTTTTTATTTGTTGTCTTTGAAAATTGCACACGTTATTACATAAATATTTGTTTAGGTGGATCTTTCATTTTGAAAATGAAGTTAAAATTTTTGTATCACTTTTTATACAAGAAATTTTCGTCAATTCGAGTCAGATTATTTGGAACACTTGTTATGAATCAGCATTACCAATGAAGAAAAGTTTGAAATACAAATGCACCACCTCCTTCAAGTACCCTGTGCCTGAATGAAATTAATTGAATACGTTCTCAAGTTTGCCTCACAATTAGACTAATTAATAAATTGTTAATTTCCCGTTCCCCATTTCAGATGTATTGTGTTGCTCACGCTGCCTCACTTTTTCTCGGAAAAGGGAAGACAGGCCCTATTGGCCTATGCGCTAATTCTCGTCATTTCTGGGCCAGCCAAAAACACATTGAACAACATGGGAATTCTCAGCGAATCTTTGGCCTGTGGACAGGTGAATAATAAAATTTTTGTTGCTCGGTTTTGACATACCATTTTTCCAGGAGCAACTCAAATCCGCGGTCAGACAAATCATTGATGTGATCAAGAAACCGTTCTACGCCCTCAGGGATGCTATAAAAAAAGTAGTGGAAACGGTCAAAAAAGTCGTGAAGAAAATCAAAGAAATACTCCTGAAAATCAAGAGAATCATTATGGGAATAAGTACGTAAGTAACATCAAAGAAAAGATACTTTGTTGTTTGAATATTGTTGACAATGGAATGGCTGGAGTTTCACTCATTTCTTGTTTAGCGAAAAGCGATCTCAAAAATAGTGCTCGAAAATATAAATGAACTATACCTAGTTCATCAAAAATATCTAAGTTAAAATAAATGACAGAATTATTTCTCAATGAAAATTTATAAAATCGATAACATCATTAAGGTTTCTTAATAAAGAGTGAATAAGATTTCACAAGAAAAAAACAGTATCCAGGATTTTAGGTCTTATTTCAATCTTATTTAAGGGGCCGAACCTAAACCGAAAATTGGTTTTTAAGTATCTTATCTACATTTTGATCAGTGTTTTTTATTTAGTACCAAGCCCATTTCACGAAAATTCTAAATCAAATATCCAAGAAGTGTGTCCAGTAAGTTTGTCCATTTATCTGGTAGTTGAAATTACCTTTAACTCTTCAACTAAAATTGAGGTTAGTTGGTCTAAAAATCATCAATAATGCAGTAGTTCTGAAAAACTGGTTCTATATGAAATGCACTTTTCTAAAAACTGATGCACGGATTATGATTATCAAAATACTATAACTCATGCTTTTTCATTTTTTAATTTGGGACCACCAAATCACATTACTAAGGATTTTTGGAACATATCGACAATATTTAGATAGAGGGTTAGACCAAAGTAAAATTAGTTGGTGAGTAAAAAAAGTCTGCGGCTTTTTTCTCGTCTCTCGTACGCGAACTAAGTTTGTTAGGAAGGAGATGATCTAATTGTGTTTTTCAAGTCTACGATACTAATTACACTAACACAAGTGGGTTATACAATAGCATCAACAACGACAGACAAAATATACCTATTTGATGAACGATTTGAATTCATATCATTCATCGATTTGCAATCCATTCGTGCATATCATTCATCAGGAAAAAACTCCAACTATTTTCGATGTGCAATCCATAATGTCGAAATTTTATTTTGAATAATGGCTCATGAAAACTACTGAGAGGTCAGGATCTCTAATATCGGAATCTTTGGTCAAGTCAAAAAATAGCGCGTCTTCTCGAATTATAATGTCTAACTGAATGAATACATCTTTCTCGAGGGCAAATATACAAATTCATGTTGAATTTTGAAGCCCAAATACATATTATTCATGATGCAACACAATACGGCGCTCATCAGTGGTATTCGGCTAAACCACAAATAGTTTTGATGTTGGAAAAGTATTCAGCCAAAACATCTATTTCCTAAAATCGTATCCCTTCTGAAAATATATCTTTTTCAAAATTAGTAATCAATATCCACGCTCAGGTTAGCCATTGTGGATTTCTCTGTGTTTATTTACCTACTTGCATTCTATAATAATGAATTGAAATAATAAATATTATTATTATTTTTATTGTATTATCAAGACGGTGAATTAACTACATAACAAAAAAACATATCTCGTTGTTTTTCAGTAAAAGTCATCAAAGCCGTATTCCAGTTTCTGGCCAAAATCATCAGCATCTGCAACAAAGAGCTTGGTACCCCCTTTGAGAGATGTTCCCGAGTGTTTGAAAACGCCATAGCGGATTGCAATGCCAAATTGGGTTCCCTCTTCTCTTGGATGTGCTCCATCACCTACATAGTCAAGTCAGTGTGTTATATAGTCAAGCCTTTCGATCTGGTGTGCTTGATAGTCGACTTCATCAACGATTCCATTATTGGGGTAGTGGTCAGAAGTAGGTACTCAAGTTGGCTTATGAGGTTTCAAATTACTAATAATTTGACCTCATTGCAATTCAATTTTCACAGAAACATTTTATGATACGAGGGTAGTCTAAAAAGTTTCCGAACTCAACATGAAGATAACAGAAATCGTAAATGAAAGATAGTGAATTTCATTATCATAATAATAATAATAAATGTGCTTTATTGTCTAAAGAAAAGTTCTTATTGACAAAGCTTTGGTGAACATTTTGAGAAAGAAAAAACATAGTTAAGTGCATGAAATCAGAATATAAGCTAGTAGATTGATAAAAATATCTAGAGTCCTACCATAAATATAAAAATAAAAATTTTGAAAGTCGCATTTTTTGAAAAACACCAGCGGCTCCTGGGTCAGAACACGCTGTTCCCACAGAACTATCGCTCAATCAGTCTGCTAAGCTGGCTGAACGAGTCCTTCTGCAAAGGCCCAACGAAGAAGTTGAGTTCCGAAATGTTCTGCCTAACGAACAATTCGAATTCAGGAGAGAACACTCCACCGAGTTACAGACTCTGAGACTGGTCAAAAACACCATCGCAGAGTTAAACAACAATCACAGAGTCCAAATAGTCTTATTAGAAATTTCGAAAGCAGTCGACCGTGTATTGCACGAAGGCCTTCTACACAAACTCCTGGGGCCTGATCCGATGGATTGGGTCTTTCCTGAAAGACAGAACATTTCAGGTTAGAGAGGAGGACCCCCTGTCTGACAACAGAGAGATCCTCGCTGGAGTATCACAGAGAGCCGTGCTCTCTCCCACGTTATACTCGCTCTACACCAGCGACCTCCCGAGGTTTGAGCGTGTGAAAGTGTCTCTCTTTACGCTAATGATACGGCTCTCCTTTCATCTTCCATGAGTCGGGAGCTCGGGATCGTCTACATGCAACGTACATTGGACGACCTCGAGCCCTGGTACCTCAAATGGAAGATCCGAGTGAACCCGGAACAGACTCAGGCGATAACCATGGGAAGAACGATATCTTCTCCGGCTAGGAAAGTGAGGGTCTCTGGAAGTACCTCGGCCTTCTAATAGACCGTAGGCTCACCTGGAACCCGCACATTGTACCCGTCAAAACAAGGATAGAGTGTCGAATCAGAAGTCTGTACCCTGTGATCAATAGAAGATCCAAAATGAGTTTAAAGAACAAAATTACCATCTATAATACGATGTTCAAGCCTGTGATTATGTATGCTTCAGTTATCTGGGGACAAGCGGCTCCTGAGGAGACTACAAAATAAGGTAATACGGATGATTGTGAATGCTCCGTGGTTTGTGCGGAACGAAGTCATCCGCAGAGATTTGCAGCTTTCTTCCATTTAGCAGTCCATTCAGTCGAGTTTTTGATTGTGCTGAAACTCACGATAATTCGTTAGTTAGGGAAGCTATAGATTATGCCGTGGACGACCCCTCTCGATATAGGAGGCCCCGACACTGTCGAATGAGGCCCTCATGTCCCCCGTTAACAGATGAATAATTTTTCATCTGTCGAGAGTGATAATCATACCCATTTTCTAATTGTGATATTTTTCATTTCAGAAGTAAAAGGGTTTGTAAGACACATTCGAACAATGTTTTATGTTCGCATCAAATTTTCCCACTCATTCCATTTCGAAACAAACTCCTCAAAGAGCGTTGTTGAAATATCTCGTGAAATTGTACAGGAGATCAAAGATAGGACGAAAACTGTGACTGCTGTTTTTCATTTTCTAACCTCTGCAGCTATGTTGTTTTTCATATTCATGATAGTGAGGTGAGTATGGGGATAGTCGAGGCTAGTATAAGAATTTGGTTCTCAAGCTATTGAACCATAATTTTTCTTTCAGAGTCACTTACTACAGATACAAATTTTTGACTACCAACAGTTTCGATAACAAATTCATAACGAAAGACTTTCACGAGATCGACATGAGGAGGGTGAAATTGAACAAAGAGACTGTCTTACCTTTGAACGACAGGGAGGCCAAAGTATACGTTAAGGTGAGAATAAACCATAACACTAGAGTCCATTTTGGGGCCAGTTTCAATTTTTATTTGCATACATTCTAAAGAAATGAACTTTAAATGTTCAAACCCATCTCGGATGTACCAACTCAGTAGGTTGAATGGACTGACAGAAAACAACTACTCCACTGGCTAATATCACGAACAGCGTTGGATTATATCCGACAGACGTCAGTGCAGGAATCTTCACAGAAAATTTCCTGCATATGCAATTGGCAATACAAATGAAAGAGTCGACCTTCAATTTTGGAACAGGCACACTTGCAGACCGGTTTCGGGCTCCTTAGCCAATAGTCAGTGCAAGATAGTGACCATTATCGACCTAAAGTCAATGATATTTCATAATTGACCCAAATTCAATGATATTCCAAAATTCTTTAAGAGTATTTCATTCCTCGTCTTGAGTTGGAGCGAATATCAAAAATGTCACTCCATCTAGTGGACGAGGTACTAACCAATTGCATATCCGAAATTTGCCCGATTCCTCTGAATAAGGAAGAAAAACTTTATTATTAGTCAGTGGTCTATGCTTGAAGACTGGCAGTAAACAAATCTAAAGAAATGAACAATAAAAGTTCAAGCCAGTCTCGAATATACCAACAGTAGGTTGAACGAACTGACGCCTATCAGAAAACAACTACTCCCCTGGCTAATACCATGAACAGCGTTGAATTATATCCGACAGACGTCAGTGCAGGAATCTTCACAGAAAAGTTCCTGCATATGCAATTGGCAATACAAATGAAATAGTCGACCATCAATTTTGGAACAGGCACACTTGCAGACCGGTTTTGGGTTCCTTAGCCACTCGTCAGTGCAAGATAGTGACCATCATTGACCTAAAGTCAGTGATATTCCATAATTGACCCAAAGTCAATGATATTCCATAATTGAAAATCAAAATTCTTTAAGAGTATTTCATTCCTCGTCTTGAGTTAGAGCGAACATCAAAAATGTCACTCCATCTAGTGGACGAGGTACTAACCAACTGCATATCCGAAATTTGCCCAATTCCTCTGAATAAGAAAGAAAAATTTTATTATTAGTCAGTGGGCTATTATGCTTGAAGACTGGTAGTGAACAAATCTAAAGAAATGAACATCAAATGTTCAAGCCAGTCTCAAATATACCCACTCAGTAGGTCAAATGGACTGACGCCTATCAGAAAACAACTACTCCCGTGGCTAATACCACGAAGGGCGTAGGATTGTATCCGGCAGGAGTCAGTGCAGGAATCTTCACAGAAAATTTCCTGCATATGCAATTGGCAATACAACTGATTTCGAAATTATTCAACTGATTTGGAGTGATGTGGTTAACTCAAGAATCAATTTTATGACGATTACTGTTCATTGTTTATTAACAATACCATTTTTACCATTAACTAAATAGTATTCAGAAAATTCTCACAACTTCATTAAATAAAAATTTACAATCAGAATTATCTTTAAAATCAATATTTTTCTCAAGCCTACAGAGAGAATAATGAATCAATACTCGTAACTTTCATCATTCAGCTGTATATATTTGTAAAATATATACAAAATTTCTATAAAACTCCTGTTTCTATAAAAACTCATGTTGAAAAAATGAAAACACCAATACAGGTTAGATTGAAATATTTAAATAGAGTGTCCTATTGAAATATGAACACAATTACATATGGTTAAATCCTCTGATTGGGTTTCGTGTTATTTTAATGCATTTTAGGTTTTAGATTGGGTCTTCAAAATTAGCGGAGAAAGAGAAGAAAATCTTGAAAAAAGCCATCACAAAGTTGGCCGTGATAAATGCGAAGGCCGCCATATACATAGGTATTGATTATGCGTTATTTTGGATTTTGAATCTCATAAAATACTATGGAAGGTTCCAGTCTAAAGTACAAGGTATGTATTTCTCAGACATACAGATTGATGAATGATTGAAAAAATGTTTTTCAAGCACCAAATATTCCAACTCCTCATATCAGTGGAAACGGACTTCTCGCAGATTTGTTAAAGAGCATCGTCAAAGCATTCCAGCCTCTTGGAATTCAACTGGAAATAGATACTGTTCCGTGTTTGCCAACTCCGATACCACCCGACTATGACCGATACGTTCAAATAGGTAATCTAAAAAATCCCACTCCCCTACATTTCTTCCAACTTCAACTATTTCAGCTACTTTACTCGTGCTATGCTGGGTGTTAACTCTCCTAGAACCTTACGGATTGAGACTGCGCAACGTTGTCATGAGCTACTATCACCCAACTAGAGCCAAACAGCGTTCTATATGGCTCTACAACCACATCTTAAGGTCGAGGAGCTCATTTCTGAAATTTGCCCGGAGACAGTTGAGAAGAAAAGTGTTTGGCTCTAAAGATATCGAGAAAGTTACTTGCATGGAGTTTTTGGCTGCCAATTTCAAGTGACGCAACTGAAGTAATTAGATTTTTGAACAAATGAGCTGATGGGTCTTCACTTTTTTCAGGTTATTCGCGTTATGTTACGACAAATCTCAAGCTGCTTGTCTTTTGTGCGGTACAGTCTTCCGAGAAACAGATTCTGTGAAGCCGATCAGATGTCAGACTCCTGAATGTCCAGGAATATACTGTGAAAGCTGCTTTGCTGATCTGAGAAATCTGTGCACCGTTTGTCTTTCTCCTATAGACTATGGAGATCTCTCAGATCTCAGCGAAGAAAGGTATACAATATTCAATTCAACAGTATATTGGTAGCAGTATATTACAATTTCTTTCTTGCTTACGGTCAACCAATAATCTATAAACCATAATCATCTTCAATCCTTTTTAGAGACTCGTCAGAAGAAGAACCACCAAAAGAAACGGTTCGGAAAAAGCGAAGTTGGTGCAAAAAACGAGATAAAAAAGTTGTGGAAAGGAAAATATCTAAACACTCTGCATATGAAGGAATCTTAGGCAAAACTGAAACGAAGTCCAGTTGGTCGTTTCCTAAAATCTGCACCAAAGCAGAGAAATCATGCGATGATTCAGATTCCCACCGGTCGTCTCCGATTCAAAAACAATCCAAGAGCGTCAAATCAATTCCCTCTGCCGACAGCAAAACATCTTGGTCTCTTTTCAAAACTTGCTCGAAGACACTGAAATGCAATTCAGAGCCTCTGCTTGAAGTTGAAGATATAAGAAAAGCCAAGAAAAAGAAATATTACGAGAAACCACACGAAGGACCCTCTTCTAGCGAAGAGAGCGAAAACGTTGGACTACTGTCTGGTTCTGAACCCATCGATTCTGACTATCACACAACCACTGCCAGCACAACTGACCCAGAACCTTCAACAGATTACTCCTATTCATACCAGTACGATAAAGACCATCAGGAGATTCCTCCTCTGGTGGAAATACCTTTCAGAGATGTGGAAAAACAAGCTGGGCACGACTATGCTGGGATGGATAGTTTCAGGGAAGAGGATGATGAAGATTTTCCTCTTCCAGATGACGAAATACTGAAGGAGATTCGCCCATCGATTGGAACTGCTATTTCTGGTACTACTTTCGATAAGATCAAGATGGAGAGGCGTGTTGATTTCACAGGAATTGAACACGCAGATGTTCATGAAAGAAAAGTGAGTTCATTGCTGACAGGTTTTTTTGACCGGTACTGTCTAACATTTGATTGTCAGGTGTTTCACTGAACAGTATTTTTTCCAAGAGTCACTAATACAAGACACAACCAGAAATATATATTTTAAAATAGATTGACTACTCGGTACTGTCGATATTTTGTTGTTGTTGTATATTTAATTTGTGTTTCTTCAATGTGTGTTACATTGTCCCTACTATAAGAAAGTACTTTTCTTCTGATCATTAAAGTTATTACAGTAGGTAATATTTAACATCATAAATTGAAGTATGCCTGAACGCGATAAACTGAAAAATCACCGAACGGATTTTTGCAATGAACAGAGCGCGCCATTCCACACGTAGGTTCATGTATCTAGCTTATCAATTGTTTCAAAACTATTTTCCGGGTTTCTTGGCCTAGGTCTGCACTTTTTATACGTTTCGTCTACAGCTGCGGTAGACAATATCAACGATGAGGCAACGGATGAAATGTTCTGGTTGTCCTCAAAGCGGATACTACAGAATTGGTTTGGGTGTTCAAATATATTTCATAGGTGGTGTCATGAATCAAATGACCTGATTCGAAAGCAAATAAGTAAAGGTAGCGAGATTTTATTAATGAAGTTGCCCGCTCCTTCTTTGTGATTCTGATTTCCCATTGCCTTATATCGAAAATGCTGCCTAATTCCTTTGAGATAATACAAAGCAGCGAAGGTCTACAATAACTCTGTGATTATCGAGGTATTCGATTTTTTCATCATCTATGACCTTGAGGTCATAGACGTCGCTTCTACGGTAAGATAAACCAAATTATTCAAGTAAAAACTGAAAACATTGACTCAACTATTCGTTCAAAAGAACTGCAACAATCTAAAGTTCACACATGCCGAGTTGAAGATTGGTTCAGAAGAAATTATTATTATATCGTAGAATTCTTAGAGGAATTGTTAGTTTGTCGATATTTCTCTGTTTACATTAACTTATGAGCATTATAAATAATTTCTGTGGAATACTTTCTTGGAAAGGCTCATATGTTTGTAAACTGGTATCTATAATAAGGAAATAAAAAAATTGAGTGTGAGTTACACTTTATTGTGGGTTAACTTCTTCAACATTTAATATAATTATTACAGTAACTAAATTCAGCTCGGCTTTGATCGATACAAAGAACAATACCTATATTCGAAAAAAAAGTGCATGCGTATTTTACTGTCGATGAAAAGATTATGAGCTATCAATAACAATTTTCAAATAACCAATTTCAATGTTGATAAGAACACATTTTTAGAAATTGTTTGTCACTGCTAATTTATAATAATATGACCCGCTTACCTTGTAGATAAGAAACAAGGCTAACTGACTACTTAACTAAAATATTAATTAACAACGTTTCAACAGTAAAACTGATATAAACTGACTTAAATCGAGATCTCAGCTCTTCAACAATGAAATTGAATTAGTCTAACTTAAATCGCAATTAAAATTGGACTGTACTATAACTTGAATGTGTATAGACGTGCGCCAGGTTGATATTCAACCAAACAGTGTTACAAATCGAAAACGGTATTTTCGAAACGCTCAAAGGAGGGGTATTCAAGCGTAAAGTCGTCATCTGCGCCCGTATGAGTCATAGCCAGTAAGAAAATCAACAAACTACTTATATGTTTGAAGGTGATTGACAATGTTTCGTGATGAATTTCACTAGTTCGGACTTCCATCGTCTACTATATAAAATGATTTGAAATCCCTGAAACAAGTAAAAAAGAATAATTAAAAAAGAATAGTTGAAAATAACAATTATATTAAGCAAAATAAACCTGAAATGAAATAATGATAGTGAAATAACCTACAAGTAAAAATATAATAATTGAATAAATAAAAATTGAAGGAATGAAAAAAGAAGAAAATAATAAAAATAAAAAGTGTAGAGATTCCAAGTCACGTTAGTTCACGACGTTTCGATTGTTGGTACCTACAATCGTCTTCGAGTGATGACTGGGTGACTTGGAATCTCTACACTTTTTATTTTTTTATTATTTTCTTCTTTCTTCATTCCTTCAATTTTTATTTATTCAATTATTATATTTTTACTTGTAGGTTATTTCACTATCATTTCATTTCAGGTTTATTGTTGCTTAGTATAATTGTTATTTTCAACTATTCTTTTTTAATTATTCTTTTTTACTTGTTTCAGGGATTTCAAATCATTTTATAGAGTAGACAATGGAAGTCCGAACTAGTGAAAAACTACTTATATCTTTCGAAGTTAATTCACTAGTCTTCTTTTGAAGTTCAAAATTATGATAACTTATTGGGAAAGAAAGTTTTTGGCTTTCTACTACTTCATCTGATACAAAAAAAAAATGGATAAGAGAATCTTCCAAAGAAAGGAAGGATTAATCAATTTGAAAATAAGTAACTCTATACATGGATGTGTAGATCATGCAAAGAAGTAACTTTCAGACACAAACTGAAAGAAAAAATTGCAAAAATCCGTTCGGTGATTTTTCAGTTTATCGCGTTCAGACATACTTCAATTTATTATGTTAAATATTACCTACTATAATAACTTTAATGATCAGAAGAAAAGTACTTTCTTAAAGTAGGGACAATGTAACACACATTGAAGAAACACAAATTAAATATACAACAACAAAATATCGAGAGTACCGAGTAGTCATAAACACGTGTATACCAGTAGGGTGACAGTGTTCCATGTGAGTACAATTTATTACCATTTATTCAAAGTAGAACTCATGTGAATGATATCTGATTCTTATTCCTCCACGAATGTTCGATATACAAACTGAATAGAGAAAAGTATCTTCTGTATAATTCAGTGTTCATATAGAAGTATTTGTTTCGAAAGAATTTTTTCTTTCGTGTAATTCAATGTTTATATGAAAGTAGCTGTTTCAGGAGGACTTTCTTTCAGTTTGTGTCTGAAAGTTACTTCTTTGCATGATCTACACATCCATGTATAGAGTTACTTATTTTCAAATTGATTAATCCTTCCTTTCTTTGGAAGATTCTCTTATTCATTTTTTTTGTATCAGATGGAGTAGTAGAAAGCCAAAAACTTTCTTTCCCAAAAAGTTAATCACTCCTAAAAATATAACCCTTTCAAATCAAATGATAACTTATATGTGAAAATCTGAATAGCTCCATCGTGTCCGTCTATAAAACGGATATGATATCAATCCTAGTTGTTTAGGTAGATAAGTGCTAACCTATTTAGAAATTGAGAATAATAGTTGTGAATACAATTTTCTAAGAGTAGATTTTATTAGTATAGTTACTATTAACTGGGCTTCACTTAGGGATTTGATATGAGAATTTGTGGTAGTTGTAATAAAATGATTAAAATTGCATTATGAGAGGTCGCTGAATCTTGCTTTATATACCACCCCTATCTGTGGATAGCCCAAGCCATAGGAAATTTGAAGGGTTTACATCATTTCCTCGATGTATTAGTTTTTTCAAATTAAATATTTCAGTACAAGAAGAAAAGAAAGAAAAAGAGACACTCGAGGCCACTCCCAGAATCGATATTGTGCCACTGCTCAGATACCGATGATGAAGAAGGAATTCATTACTTGGAAGAAACGTCTCTTATAACTTTACCAAAAATGATTCGAACAGAAGATTATTACTCAGAAAATTTAGGGTTTTGTACTTGCAAACATCAAGAACATTCATCTTCTAGCGAATATCTGTCTTCGTCCAGTGAGATATCTTTAATGAAAAATTTCACAGATTGGAACTCTACTGAAAGTGAAATTTCACCTAATTTCAGTGGAGAATGTATAGAATTGAAAAGGATGCGGAAAAGGGAGGAAACAAAAAGAGATGAAACAATGGAAATTGTTAGAAAACCCAGTAGACTGAAGATGTTGGTCAAAAGAGTCATACCGAAGGTAATTTAATGTAAGATAATAGTATTACTATGGTAGAACAAACTAGGAGTATGTTTCGTAAAAAGTGTATTCTCATATGGTGATTTTGTTTCAGTTTAAAGTCTATAGAGAAAAATAGGCACACAATTTTTGTACAGCGGCAAATATTTCTTCCATTACAAGAAAAACTACCAACTCAGAATCGCCCGCAGAAGATTATTGGAGAAAAATATCGAACTTTAGCAATGGCAGATGTTTCTGGTTTTGCAGTATTTAGATAAGAAAAATGCAGTGTTGTTCTTTAATTATTACCACAATATATTCTATTTTCCTTTATTTATAACTGAAGTAAGTTGTATAATTATTCATAACCTATTTTTACTCCATTCGGGCTCAGTGTGGGGTTTTTATTTCAAATATTTCTAAGACAACAACGACTAGTCCTAGCGTTTCGTTTCAAGGCAAATCGAGTTCAAATTGTGGATTGTTTTGGAATTTGAAAATTTTAAAAAATAAGAGCATTTCATTTAGAAGTATGTATTGTTAAGGTTCTTTACTATTTCATATTCCTAAGAACAATGTCAGTTAACTGAATTACAGATTAACTGAATTACACATGTACCTTTCTTATTCCTGCCTATTTCAATCATGTAATCATTCCTTACATCAAGCCTAATTATTTGTATTCAAGGGTAAATTTTACTTTATGAATAGAAATTTTTCGAATTTTTTTGGAAGGTTACTACATGATGTTAGAAATTCAGAACAATTTTTCCGTGTCCCTATCCAATCGGTTCTGTTCTCAGTTCATCTTTGTACTTCCAGTGGTTTTTATGGTTTGAAATGGAACATAACCCAAAAATTTACTCTGATGAGATGAAGTGAAATATTCGAACGCGAGTGTACAATACTCAGAGTAACAAAAGAACTCTGAGGTACAATAAATGGTGTTCTGTGTTAATAAATTAACATTGTTGCCAATCGCCTAAAAAAAATTGGAGCTGACCATAATAATGAAGCTAACTTATGAAAAAATCCAGTAAACCTCGATATTCACAACCTTTTGAAGACTGTGCTCATATATTTTTTCAAACGACGATTCAGTTTCTCGTAATACCAGTTTTTATTCTCTACAAAGATTGTCAATGATATTTGGAACAACAAAAATAGCAGGTTCAGTCTCCGAAAGTATATGAAGCTCAAAAAATATATGAAAACATAAAAATCTTATACACCATAGATAATGAATGAACAATGCTGCCAACAGACTCGAAAAAATAAATCGAAGCTAACCATAATAAAGCTAACCTTTAAAAAAATCCTGTACTTACAGTTTGATGTTTACAATTTTTTGAAAATTGTGTATTTATTTTTGTTCCAATTACTGTACTAGTTCATCATAATACTAGTTTTTCATTGAGTTTTGTTTTATATTCTACGAGAATTGTCGATAATATTTGGAAAAACGGTAATTAAATAAAAGTTCAGTCTCCGAAAATGTTTGAAGCTCAAGAAATATATGCAGAACACAAAGATCTCATCCATGATGTGGCCTACGATTATTATGGGAGACGTATGGCAACTTGTTCCAGTGATCAATATGTCAAAGTAAGTGTTCAAGTTCATTAATATTACCTGATAAGCTGATAAATTGAATCAAAAACAAGACTAGCCTTTTTTTGCACCTATGAAGAGCCAACCACTAGTGTTCGAATTGAGGAACTTACTCAAAATGAAAGAGACTCATGGAAATAAACAAATAGAATGTAGGAAGATATGCTGATATATACATTTTTTGCTGTAGGTTTGGGAGCTTCATGATGGAAAGTGGTCTTTAACATCTAGTTGGAAAGCTCACAGTGGATCAGTATGGAAGGTGACGTGGGCTCATCCAGAGTTTGGACAAGTGCTAGCCACTTGTTCATTTGACAGGACTGCAGCAGTCTGGGAAGAAATTGGTGAGATAATATTTGTTAAAATGTGTGCACAAAACACTGCAACAACCAAAGTTTGTTGCCATCACTCAGTGTTGTATAAAAACAATATCCTTTCATTTTCATAAACAACACCATACGATTTGATCTTCACAAACTTTTTTTTCAATAAATATATCATAACATGTTCCGCTATCATAGTAGCAATAGCTACGAAAAAGCTATGATAGGGAAACATGTATATTTTTTTTAAAGTAAAGTTTATGAAAATCAGATCATAAAGTGTAGTTCATGAAATTACTATGGATTTTCATCAAGCGAAGGCTAAGTCGATCAGAAGAATATCCTTTCATTTCAATGCATCTCACCCATTTCATAAGTCTCAGTTATATAAGGAACTGCTGAGAGTTTTCCCTTTCTTGTTTTATGTTTTGAAGGCAATTTCCAATTAAGGTTATAGCTAGATATTAACTTACTTATGTTTCATTTTCTTAATGACAAAATTTTTATATTACATGGATTTATCAGTCTCTTCTATAAAGTCTTTGAACTTAAGAATATGAATCAACTTTTTATAACTTGCTATTGATAAATGCAATTTCAGTTGGAGAATTGCCATGTCCAGGGGAAAGGGGCACTCGCCACTGGGTACGAAGAACTAACCTAGTGGACTCACGAACATCTGTAACAGACGTCAAGTTTGGTCCCAAATCTCAGGGACTGCAACTAGCTACTTGCTCAGCAGAGGGAATCATCCGGATATACGAAGCACCCGACATCATGAACTTGAGCCAGTGGACGCTGCAGCACGAAGTGCAGTGTAAGCTTCCTTGCAGTTGCCTGTCTTGGAATCCAAGCCTGTCAAAGTGAGTGGCGAGTTAACGATTCGGTATCTATTATTTTCCCATTTAAATTCGTAGAGTTCATCCTCAAATGATAGCCGTTGGCAGTGACGACTCCAACACCGCCAACGGGGGAAAAGTTTTCATATTTGAGTACAATGAGAACAGCAGAAGGTGGACTAAACTAGAAACGCTCAGCACTATTACAGACCCAGTACACGATATCGCATTTTCACCAAACTTGGGAAGGAGTTATCATATTCTGGCTGTGGCAAGCAAAGATGTCAAGATTGTTAATCTAACACCACTCGAGTGAGTATTTAAATCAATGAAACTGATTATATATTAAAAAAAAAAGTAAAAAATTATTAGTGTCTTTTCTCAGGCAATAGATCAAGTTACATTGTTAAAAATTTCAATGTTCGGCCATCTATTGGATAATAGTAAAAACTTCAGAGTTACCTTCGATGCAGTTTCCTTTTTTGGAGTGAACTTTATGTTTGCACTATTGACAGATAGATGGCAATACAGAAGTTAGATTTCTATAATATAAATTAATATAGAATACTGCTTTACCTCTTTTTTTGCTATCTCAACTATTGACTGGCAGATATCGACATCAGTCTGTAAATCGATCAGGTACAAATTATTTTTTTGTTTATGTCTCATATGTTTGAATGGTGAGTGCAATTTCATAATACTTTCAAGGTACCTTCTCTGTAAGAGATCCATGTCTTTTGATTTATGTATTGAAGATATTTTATCAGTTTTTTTCTCAGAGGACAATTCGTCACCGGTTCATCACTATGATTCCTCACCAGTTCATCATCATGATTCCTCACCAGTTCGTCACCATAATTCGTTAAAAGTTAGAGCGATGCTCATGCAACGGTTTTTTTTGGTCAAAATTCAGCAATTTTGGAACAAACTTTCCTGCCACACGCTTCATGCCCAAAATTTAAAAAAACATGGCGTGAGGCAACAGATATGCCAAAATCATCCGCAACTTCTCTAATAGTGATTCTCAATATTGGTTGTTGATGCGCTAGGGCGTCCAGGGCCAGCGTCATTCATATCTTCTCGACCTTCTGCGAAAAACTTGTACCACTCGTAAATATTTTTCTGACTCAGAGTACAATCACCGTATGCCACTGTAAACATTTCAAGTGTTTTTGAGCACTTAATTCAGGTTGATCATGAAATGTTCATTGAAATCAGTGACATTAACATTATCCATCTTTATTTCAGAGACGAACAAACTGCACAAAGTGGAGTTACCAAATTGGATGTAGAAACAATAGCTCAGTTTGATGATCACAACAGTTTAGTATGGCGAGTGTGTTGGAATTTAACGGGCACTATTTTGTCTTCCAGCGGAGATGATGGTTGCGTCAGGATGTTCAAAAGTTAGTAAATACGGTACATATTTATAAAAAATGTTTTGTTCGATCGAGAATCGAAATACCCTGCTAACATTGAAGAAATCAATTAAAGGCTAGTTTTGAGCTTGTTAGTACATATATTGAAATTGATTTTTACTTTTAATAGTTTTCAAGTTCTGAGGGAGTTCAAACTAACGAAAAAATGTTTTTTTGTATTCCTTACAAAACTTATGCTGGTATAGGGAAGTCAATAACAACTTTTGATAATGAGAAAATAGGCATTTGTTTGAAGGTGATTGGCAATGTTTCATGATGAATTTCATTAGTTCTGACTTCCATTGTCTGATATTACTTAAAATGATTTGAAATCCCTGAAAGAACTAAAAAAGAAGAAATTAAAAAATGAATAGCTGAAAATAACAATTATATCAAGCAAAAAAATCTGAAATGAAATAATAGTGAAATAAAATACAAGTAAAAATAGAACAATTTAACAAAAAATAAAAATAAAGAATAAAAAGTTAAGAGATTCCAAGCCAAGTTAGTTCACGACGTTTGCATTGTTAGTATCCACAATCGTCTTCGGGTGACATGTCGTAGTTTACAATTTAAAATCTTTTAATAATCGAATATTACTCTTCAAGAGATTTTTAAACAATTTATATACGAGTTTAGCTTTTTCGAAGAGCATTGAACAATTCAAAATCACAATATTAGTCATTTTGTATAATTCCAAAGATGGAGTATCCTATGATTTATTGAATATTACTTTTTTAGCTTCATTAATTGAACAATAAATTTTATTTTTCTGCCTTCTAGTTCAGAATGACTTAATTGTAATATCTGATTCAAGAGAGAATATGAGCATCATAAATTAGACTTTGTATCTTAGTATCTAAAAACTTTATTCTTCAGATGCACCCACTATGGTACAATTCATTGTTTAATTTTATTTATATGACATTCGAAATTCAAACCTTTATCAATCACTAGTACTAGGTTGCTGTATCGCTGCTGTTCCAATGTTTTGACAGAATCAGAATCAACGACTTAGGCGTGCGCAGCGTTATAGAACAGTGCTTTCAAAAAATTGTTCTACAGGGCCATCTAGTGGCGAGTTACAGAAAAATTGATAGCCTAAAAACCTTCTTTATGAAAAATTACTTATACATGTTAAGTTTCAGCACGATCAGTTGAGCGACGTAGAAGTTTATCACTTACCAACCAACCAACAAACATTCATTTATACAGGGCTATTCAAATTCGTTTCTGTACATGGGGATCTCGTAAACGATATGAGAGAGTGTCGGTTGAATTGTGGCAAAGTTGCGTATTTTAGAGACCTATTCAATGATGTGAAAACATCAAATATAGCTCTTTTGGTTCTGGAGATATACAGGAAAAACAAAAAATCCCAAATAATTTTTTTGATTATATCTTCTTTATTCGCAGACATGTTGAAAATCTGTCCACATTTTGCATTTGGTACTTGATGTGAGCTAACAGAATATGTTCATGAATCTTTTATATAATAGGGTGTCATCTGACTTGGGCCACCCCCATCTTTGAATTTTTAAATACGGACCTGTATTTTTTGTTGTAGTTTTTGGATCTTAAACGTTCAGTTTAAACTGAGAAATATGAAAAACCGAGTTCAAAAATGTCTTGAAATGGATGGACTCCGATTCGAACATTTATTGCGCCATTAATTTTTTTGTGAATATAAATTACTTCATTTCAATTTTCATTACAATCATAGTGTTTGTTTTGGATTTTATTATTGCTATCATTTCTTTTTCTGTTCATAAAATCACATATAATATATTTTTGATGTAGATATGTTTCAGATAATCATAAAATTTTTTATTATTCTAAGTTCATTGTAGAAAACGCTCATAGCAAAATATGAATAGGTACCTAAAAACTCTCGAAAAACTTCACGGTAGGTACATAGGGAGACGTGAAAGTTGCTATTGTGTTTTTATTTAACTCATTCAACCAATTTCCAGGGCCGTAATTTAAAAGGGAATAATTCACACAATTATAATGAAATATTAGCGGAACATCCCGAAATATAAAATTCTATTTAATTTCTCAGTATGAAGTGAACGTCGACGATACAAAAACTACAACAAAAAATACAGGTCCGTATTTAAAAATTCAAAGATGAGGGTGGCCCAAGTCAGATGACACCCTGTATGAAAGATTCATGGACATATTCTGATAGCCCACATCAAGTGCCAATGGCAAAATGTGGAGAGATTTTCAATATGTCTGCGATTAAATAAGATACAGGTAAAAAATAATTTGGGATTTTTTTGTTTTTCCTGTATATCTCCAGAACCAGAAGAGCTATATTCGATTTTTTCATGTCATTGAATAGGTCTCTGAAATACGCAACTTTGGCACAATTTAGCTGACACTCTATCTCTTATCGTTTACGAGATCATCATGTACAGAAATGAATTTGAATAGCCCTGTATATACAGTGTGACCCATTTAAAATGGAACCACCCCTGTAGAATGTGCATTTTTCAATCAATCTCAATTTTTTTTTCATTGAAATATTAAGCATGAAAAATTGTATCTTGACACTAACTTTCACAATTTTAGTTTCATTTCCAAGGCACTCTATGGTTTTTTTTGTTTGTCAAAAACGGCAAAAGTTTATTAGGCAATTTTTGTTTTCAAATTTGACTACACCACTGGATTCGTAGTCGTTATAAATCAAAACTGTCAAATTTTCATTAAAAAATATTTGTTAACAACGAAGTTACAACAACTTCAATTTTGGAAACAAAGTATTTGTTTGTAATTTTTATTCAGATTATAGACATATTTGAGATCTGACAACACTGTCATCACCAAGTAGAACACCAGTGAATTTGTACAGTGAAAATCCGAAGTCAACAGCTCAATGCGTTCTACAGTTATAACTCCTGAAAATATGGTAATG